ACCACTGTCACCTCTCACATTCCTGGCTACTGCCTCCTGCCACGAGCACAAATCCTGCTTCTGCTCTCACAGGCTCTGGGGCTGCTTTACCAACAGCTCTGAAGACACAAAGCCCCAGAGGAAACCACAAAAAATTCAAGCCCTCCCTTGCCAACAAGTTTCCAGTCACTGCTTTGCTCCATCACCCCAGCACAGGGACTGCCATGGTGTGACAGAACAGCCACGGCAGCCCAGGAAAACACATCCCCCTTATATGTGACTGGGAACAACTCCAGGGCTGGGATCCTGCATTTCCTGGATTCACACTCTCCCCAGTTAAAAACTGGTTCAAGCTGTACTTTGCCCCTTGCCTTCAAATCTCCATCACACAAACTCTTTAGCAGAGACGTTTGATGTTTCCAAAAGATTATTCACATTTTGTAATCAGCCAGCACTGTTTCTAGGAGGGAGGAAAGCACATTTTGTTGATAATTTTTTTCTTTTTTTTTTTTTTAAATAAAGCACTTTTTGAGAAACAAACAAAACAGAAAAAAAAATCAAAATCTATCAATAACCTGCAGTAGCATCCCACTGATCAGACTGGAGACAGCATCGTCACATCCCTCCCCCTCCCTCATCTTCCCCTCAATCTTCAAAAATAGTATTTAATATACAGCAATAAACTCTGAGCAAGCCAGAGTCCCGGAAGACATGGACCTGCTTTCACCTCTCCCATCCAGCCCAGCACCTTCCAATGCTACTACACTCCTGGGACAAATCCTTTGGATCCAAGGTGAGTGCACGTGCCCCAGACCCGCTGGGCAGCACGAAGCAGAGCTGCAGCACAGGAGGCCCAGTCACGCTCACCATTCTGAGCCCTCCCAGCTCCAGCCTGGGGTGTTTGTGCCGTTTGAGAACACTCGTGTGAGCCTATTTGGGACCAGCCGGTGAGGACAGACTGGTGGAACCAGGCCGACGGCAAAATGGCATCCTGGAATTGTATTAGGCTTTGGCATTTGTTGCGGAGATGCAGAAGTGCCAGTAGGTAAATTAGCTCAGTGCTGGCCCAGCTCCCATTTCCCTGGGATTCTCAGCAAGGGTATTTCCCTCCTCGCTGTAAGTGCAAGAAGCAGACGGATCTCTCCCACATTTGAGCACCAAACAGAGCCTGAAACATTTGGTACTTTGCAGCTGCTCAGTATCTGTCTCACAACAAGGGCTGAACCTGCTCTGATGGTCCTCTCCCTCCTCCTGCTGTTTTCTATCAGCAACAGGCCTGTCCAGCCCAGAGTTCCCATATCAAGACACTTCCCTGGCTCTTGCAATCCCATTTCAACTTAGGGAAGGCCAAGGGACAAAGCACAAGTCCCTGCTCTCTGTTCAGACCTGAAGAGCACAAGGCAAGACCTCAGAAAGTAAATGTGGGGCGCAGGACCCCCCAAGCCTCCCCCTGCACCCAGAAGCTGTAAGAACCAGGACCCAGCCATGACTCACTCAGCTCTGAACTGCATAGACACACAGGCACCAGACTGTCTGCAAGTTCTCCATCCTGCCTTCAGGAGATTTCTGGGACCTGAAGGAGCTCTTCCAGTTCTTCTATGCCCTGTTAGGCTTTCCTTCCATTGACCTCAAGGGCTGGAAACAAAGATAATCGCTCACAGTTCTCTGCTTCAGCTGTGACCTCCAGAGGTGGCATCCAGGGACAGGGAGACAGACCCCAGCTGATCTCAAGGGCAGGGAACGTCTGTCCCTTGGGGAAAAAGAAAAAACTCAGAAGCTCCTTAAAAAAAAAAAGAAGCTCCTTCAAATAGACTTTTATTCAAAGCCTGAGACAAAGGCACCAAAAAGAGAAGGGAATTCATTTGGGTTTCTGCTCACTGCCACCTGGGACACTCAAAAGGGTCAGAGATGTTTAATTACACACACAGAAAGGGAAAAGGTCCTGGCTTAAAGGAGGGGCTGATGGGGCAATTAAAAAAGGCTTTGAAACCACCACGCTGAGACTGCATCCAGGCCCCAAACATGATCAAAGGTGTCATTTGCCCTTTAAGTGGAAGCTTTATTAAAACTGCCTTATCTGCCCCTCTCTATACAACATGAATCAAGCCAGGTCTGTTCTGACCCAGCTCCCCACACTGCTGAGCTCCACGTGCCTGCTGCTGGTGGGAGAATCAGCTCAAACAGGCTTGTCCCTAACCTGCCTCATTTAAACAGCGTCTTGGATATTCCCTCAAACACCCATTCTGGAAAGCTACAGACAGCCCAAACTTTTTCTTTCCATGCTCAGGACCCATTTATCTGGCTTGCAGATACTAGACAGAGATGGCGAGGGGAGCCAGAGTACACCATTCCCAGCAAGGTGCCCACTGGCCACCCTCTACCACCCTCTGTGCTCCAAACACGCCTTGTTTGAAGGTTCCTTCAAGGCAAACCTGCCAGGAGGGGATGGATCAACAAGGAAACCGCTCACAGCACCTTAACAGGGTCAGGAACCACCCAGACACCAGCTTTGTAGTGACAAAGATGCATAAAACCAGAGTCAAAACAACTAAATTGAAGCCATGAACTATTCCTCCTCCCTATTCTTATTCAAATAAGACAGATTCATTTAAACTGAGCAACTGGAACACAACATCACACTGCACAGCTCTGCCTTGGGGCAGCCGATGGCACCAAATGGATGCCCTGGCTGCCGGGAAAGGCTGGGATAAACTACCCTAGAAGACTTGTCTCCAACTTTTGCACATTTAAATGCACACCCCCTTTCCCATGCCAGGCAAGGTGCAGAGATTACTGGCTGAGCCACAAGAAGAGTGATTCCTTACTGCAAGGATGTTCAAATAAAACGCAACCCAAAAGGCCTGGAGGAGAGCAGCTCCTTACAGAGACGCCTTTTTTCAACTCCGGGTTCTTTGCTTAACAAATCAGCGCAGTTCATGCTTCTCAAAACTGATAAAGATCTAAATGTCTCTGTGCTCCAGTTAGAGCATCCCAAAAATGCTGGAGAATCCCTGCAGGCGCTGTCACCGAACAAAACAGAGCTTGTATTTTATGAGTTTTATAAGTATTAGGATTTTAACAGCAGCTAGAAGATGAAGCAGAACACTTCAAGCTTACCACCTTTTCATCCTAAGGTTTGTTCTTTAAGATTTGCTCTCCTTAAAGCCTGCCTTCCCCTCTTACTGGGGCAGGGACTCTTGATTCGCCCAAACTGGCTGTAGACATTTATGCAGTTGGAGAGAAGATAATTAAGGTCCTGCTTGCTTTTCAGCTCAGAGAGACAGAATTAGTGTCAGGCCTATAGCAGTGATGCGTGTGATCAGAAGAGGTTCAGTGGCACTGATGCAGAGGGCAGCGCTTTGTCACCTCCCCCAGCTCCCAGCCTGAAGCCCTGAGCTGACAGCTCCTATCACAGCTTGAGGGTGAGGAGGAAGCGAAGGCTTCAGCTGCCTGGGCCCAGCAGAACAGAAAAGGCTGCTCCTCCAGGTCCCTTTCTAGCAATAACGCAATTCGGCTGACCCTGCTCAGCTCAAACAAAGGCTGAGCCACTGCAGGGGATCAAACCCAGGAACAATTGCTGGGAAAACACAGGCCCAGAGAGGCAGAGCAGCATGGAGGTCACTGCTCAGTGCCACTGCTCCGGGGAAAGACAGAACACTTCTGAGGACAATGGAGAGAGCGTGAGGTAAAGCGTTCTGTGAGCTCTGCAGCATCCGAGCTGACCCACAAGGACCCAATCCTGCCTGGGACAGATCCCGTTCCAGCCCAGAACATCTCCCTCCTGCCAGCCAGAAATGCTCAAGATGTTGGAGGCCAAAACCATGGGAAGGCAGCTCCTCAGGGCCTGCAGCTCTGGATCAGCAGGAGCGGCAGCAGCTTTCACTTTGCTCAGCCTCTGTCAGGCAGGCACAGGCTCTGCATGTGGAAACAAAAGCCTCTTGCAGGAATATCCCTGGGGAAAGCAGGTGACCTTTTCTCCAGTGTTCTGCTCACTTTTAGATCTCTGGATGGCAACAAACCACCTTGCTCTCCAGGACTGAAATGCTGGACATCTGCCCCTTTGCTACACTGCCTGGATATGCACAAGGCCAAGCTCATTGTAAACACTGACCAGGCTCCACTTCTCCCTGCTGCAGGGAGGCCTGATCCCTACACAGGGAGCATCCACCAGGTTGCTCTGCTCTGTCCTACAGCACAGGTTGTTCAGAGTCATAGAGAAGGGAGCTAACCCGTAGGAAGGTCAAGGATTAAGTCCCTGACCAGGTTCCTCTCTAGGTCATCTGATTTTCAGCTTCTTCCAAAGGAGAGGTCGCTTGCTAGAAAGGGCAAAATAAGGAACTGGGCTTGAAACAAAACCTTCGAAAATAAAAGGATATTAAAGGAAACAAAAGCCATAATCAATAATCAATACAGAAAACAAGTGCATCTGATCAGACGCCAACAACGTCAGCCTCTCACAGGCTACAGCAGAATCCCTCTGCGATGGAACAAACATTGCAACTGCCAAACTAGGAAAATCTCTCCCAACTGGTGCAGCAAATCAGGCCTGATAAATCTCTCTGCTCCTGGTGCAGCTCGCAGTCCTTGGAGGGGACTGTCTCCACGGAGGCTGGGCGGAGAGCTGGAGTCTTGGGATCTTCAGGCAGGCGAGTACCATACATTGTGCCAGGCTCTGTCCTTCATAGTCGTTTGACACCCAACAGCACCACAACACTTCCACGCTCCTGGACGTGTGCCCAGGCCTTGTTTTAAGAGCTGCTTCCCTGATTAAGGAACCGTATTCCACCCAGTAAAGGCAGAGATCTCGCAGCACATTGCCATCCCTCAGTGTGGGAAGTGGCCCAGGACTGGTAGCATCGGCTTTCAGCAGCTCAACACACAGCCAGCCGGGACTCAGTTCACTCTTGGATGCCCCAGGGAGAATTGGAGCCTGCACATGGTGCGAAGGGGAAGGCGAGGGCCGTGCTGCTTGCTGGCAGGGGGAAGGTAAGCTCCCTCTTACCTGGACCTGCTATTCATTGCTATTCATTCCAAATGAATCACCTTTTTTTTCTTTTTTTTTTTCCTTAAATTATGAACAATATGGAGAAATTGAAAGCAACCGTGTTTGGTCCAACTCCTTCCCTCCCAGCCCCTGGGCTGATGCACTGTGGGGCCTGCTCTCACAACCGGCAGAGGCAGAAGAGGGTAGGAATGAAGACACCAAAGGCCACCAGTATAGGAAACATGAGGCTGCTGTTGTCCGAGGCATAGGGGTTTGGTGTGCGTGGGCCTGACTGAACCCGGTTCTTATTTGCCTGTTTTTTGACACTGGAGCCATCGTCATACTCATCTTCGTCATCATCCTCCTCTTTTTTCTCCAGACCGGGGTGCGGCTGCAGCTTTGGGACATCTGTTGGACAAGACAAAAGGTTGCAGTGAGGCAGGATGTGAACTGGGAGATCACTGGAGACACTCCCTTCCTTCCCCTCTCCCTGATCCAACACGAATGGTCAGACAAGAGGACACCTGATACCACACTGAAACCACAACCAGAACACCCCAGAAGACAGGAACATCCTCCCTCACAGAGGATAACACCACTGTTTCTTTCTTCCATGAGGTAAGAGCATCCAAAGAGCCAGTCTGCAAAAAAAACTACATCCTTCCACCCCATCCCGGTGTCACACAGAAGTTAATGCACAAAAGCACACTTAGAGCACACAGTCAGATACTGCTGCTGCTCAGGGAAAAAGCAAGAACAAGCATCTGCTGCCTGCAGGACCAGCAGATACAGGTGCAAACAGGAAATGGGAAACCCTTTCCATGAACAGTCCTACCCCACATCATCGCACCCCCCAACCCCAGAGCTACCAGAGCAACATGTTCCTACCCCACTCAGATCCAGCCCTCTGACCTTAGGGCCTGAACTGCAGGTCCCCCACACAGCAAAGTGCCACCTGGCCACAAGGTTCTCACCAAACCTTCAGCAGCACCTGGAAATCTCTGATTAACAGTAAAGCAAAGTGATGGTTTGGTGAGAGGGGTCCTAAACGCCCCCTGTTCGGGAGCCAGAGGGGCTCCCAGTCCAGCACACTTACAAAGAGGGTGATGGAAGAACGAGAACTTTTCTAGCTCTCCCCACTGCTATCCAGAGGATCTGATACCTGGAAAGAAAACACTGCCTTGTTCTCGAGCTGAGAAGGCAAAACAAAGCTCCAGGTAAGAAACACTTAACTACTAGCTAAAAGAACTCTGTAAATGACTTGTCTGCAGGGCTGCTGCTGACATCCAACGCCAGAGGGAATGTATCTGCAGCTATAAGCTGAGACTGACCAGATGTGTTCCCTTCTCTTCCCCATATACAGGAAGTTCCAAAACAAACTGATTTTTCTCGTTCCAAAATGACACAATTTGTGACTTCGAGAAGAACGAGGACATTACACACCTATTTCACTCCGCAACTGCACTCTGTGGGAACTCGCTGAGAGAGAAACAATTTTGGCAGATGTGGGTCAGCAAGAGCTATGATCTCATAGTCTGAGAAGCAACAGGCTGCTCTCCAAGGGGGAAGAGCCTTCTGGCTTGAAAACTGTGCTTACCTTCCACTGTTCCTTGCAGGATGTATAGGGCACAGATTTTTGGATTGTCATAGTAGCCCTAGAGAAAGCAAAGGCAGCAGTCAGTGCTGCGGCTCTGAGGCAAGGGATGGTCTCCCCACCTGCCACCATCTCTCCTCCAGCACACAGCTGCACCACACAGCTGGGGAACAAGGGGAAAGGGAAGATCAGGGCTCTGCCCTGGAAAGCGTTATTACCTTTACAAACTCAATGTGGAGCTTCCCTGTGAACGTGGAAACCTCCCCCTGGACACTCAGTTTCCCCTTTTTGATACTCATGGGAATGATCTCATCGTGAGCTGTGCTGTGTCCAACTCTGTCAAAAATGTCCAAGTCTTTCACCACCACGTGGCCATTCAAGCGAACATCAAATACCTTCAGGGTGAAAGAAATGACAGAGAGTCAGAAAGATTCGAGCACGTGACAGCTGAAACTGGAACAGAACGGGAAAGGTCTCTGTTTGTTATGCACCCAGGACCTGAAAGCATTGTAATATGCACTGCCCCACTCCCTTGGGAAGGATTCGGAGCCCAAAGCAGGCAGGTAGAGACACTGAAGCATTAACATTGCTTTCAAACACCCTGAAACCTGCTTCCTCCTTTTAAAATACCCCCTACATCTGCTGTTCTGAACTGAGGACAGAACAATTTTTTTCTGGTTTATTCATGCTTTTCTTTCACAACTTTCTTTCCACCTCCTGTCTGAGGACCCGCTCCTACCACCCCGGGGTGGCTGTGGCACACCACACCCTAGGGAGTGAAGCCATTTCTAACTAACAGCCTGCAGCAGAACAGAGAAGAGGAAACAAGCTGGTGAAGAACACAGGGTTTGAAGGAGGTAAAATGTTTAACTGCTAACCACATCTGTGAATTCATAGTGAAAGTCCTCCTCAGGGCTGCAATGACTCAAACTTCACTCAGCACCTGGGGAATCCCAGCAGAACCACATCAAGGAAGAGGAACCAAAGATGCCTCAGCCCTTCAGTTTAATCTGAGGCTGCTTTTTGCATCCGTTCTGTAAGCCAGCCCCACCAGTTCTGTTCCCTGAAATACCTCTCTGGCAGGAAGGCAGCACAGTGCTTAAAGAGATCAGCTCTAAAGAAGCTGATGGAGTCAGGGGAAAGACGGGCTATTACACAAACCACTCCTACCCCAATTTATCACAGGGCTTTGACTTCTCTGTGCTTCTGCTTCCACCTCTGTACACGGGGTATTTCAAAAGTGGACAAGAGCAATAAAGAGGGTGAATTTAATTCTGTGCTTTCAGGATCAGACTGAACCAGTATCAAGTCTTATTTCATTCGTAAAAATTGTTTTGAGTAGGTTCCAGATCACCTCCCTGCTTCAATCTGTGCAATACTTCCTCCAACACAACCGTGCTGTCACGCTAGGAACAAGTGTTCAGGAAAAAGACAAAAAACCTCTTCAAAGCCAGCACAGCTTAAACAGGTCGTGAAACTCTATTGCTAGTTATGTTTAGTTGGACATGGTTTTTTGAATGCTTTGAAATGCAGTTTTCCAGTCTGACTGTATAGCTGGAACATAGCGGAGAGCTCTAAAGTTTCACAGCCCCTGAGAGCTCTAGGATCTCTAGGATCTAAGTTAACCATCAATGCCTTACTTCACTCCTTCCCCCAGCATGCAAAGCAGCAGAGGCAACCTGAGCGCACACAGCCATAGCCAGGAACTCACATCAGAGACACACAGGAGCTGTTGCTTACCTTCTGTTGAGACTGTGCAAAGTAGACCTCTGCAAACTTCAGCACCAGCACATAGTCACCCTCCTCTTTGATGGGAACTTCATAGCCAAAGGTTTCCTCGTTGTAGCGCTCGGTCTGGTACAGAATCTGGTCTTCTGCGTTGGACCGCAGGATTGGCAGCTTCATCCCATAGTCAGAAGCTGGGTTTCAAGCACAAAAGAGTGAAAGGAGGGGTTATTTTCTGAGGCACATGGTAGAGACACCTTATATACTCTTGAAGTGCTTAAGTCTACAAGTGGCACTTGCATCCTTGACAGACCTGCCTCCCCTCCTTGCTCTGACCAGATGGCGGCACTACTGGAGCAGAAGCAGAGGGAGCCAAAGCCCTGGAACACCAGCCCCATAGGAAAACAGATCTGGACCTGCTGCAGTCCAGACAAAGTAAACTCACTTGCACCATTTCAGAAAGAAGAGCCTGTTTCACAGACAGTGCACAAAACCAAAGGACTTGGCCGTTGGCTCTTGTTCCTAAGAGGAAAAACACCTAGAATATTTTTATGGTGTTCTCAAATCCCAAACTCTGAGTAGAAAACAAAAACAGGGGGCACAGGACTGACTTGACTCATTGATACAACAGATTTGGAGGGAGCAGTTGATGGCATCAGGTTTTAGAGACTCATCCTCCTCAAGTGAAAACCTAGGGGATGGAAGAAGTGTGAAAAGCATTAGGCATGTTACAACACCCTTTCTTCTCATCACAGCCCCACAATACTGTCAGCCTGAACACAGGAAGAAGGAAGCAAGATACACAAGGGTTTCAAGAGCACCAAGAGCTCCATCAGCTGCTGTTCTCAGAGCCACCCAGCTGAAATGGGTGCTGTCTGCAGCCACCTGAACAGCCCCCCAAGAAGGGCACAAACAACATTCCTAAGCAGGACAATAACTGACAAAATAACAGAAACCATAAAATTTGCCTCTTCTCACTCATTGTTTCACCACGTCTAGAGCAGCCCCCAGAAGACTTTAACTCAACTTGGCATTTTATTGTGTCAGGGTTACTGTACAAATGCAAACTGATGCAATGCCTCCAGATCTGCAAACCCAGTGACTCCCCAGCGAAGCAGGGGCAGGAGGGAAGACTGTGGACACCATCTGCCCACTGGCACCTGAGGCAGGAGAAGTTGATCCAGACGAAGTTCTCTGCTGACACTAACCACTTCCACCCCCATTTCCATGGGAACAGACACTGCACTGGCCAAGACAAAGCGAGAACTACTAACCCAGAGCACGTTGCCAAAGACGGAGCCAATGCAAACGAGTGAGGGGAAATTAATGCCAGTTCTCAGTCTCCTGTTTCACACAGAGCTGTTCAGGCGATCGTCCGCTTCTCTTTACCCCTCAAACCTGGGCGCAAGGACCGAACACTCTAATCACCAGAAATACAGAGGGTGAAAAGTTTAACCTGTCCTCCCACACAGGTATTTCTGGCCAGCTACAGATTACAGTGACAGCAAACCAAGGACTCCAGAGAAGTCAGTTTCTATTAGAGGAAAGCTTGCACCGGAAGCAAGTCCTTTAATAGCCAAGAAGGTAACTGGAGAGGAAGACCTGTCACCTGCGTGTCAGAGCCCTGCTGACAGAGCTGTGGAGGCGAGCTGGGTTTTACAGCAGGCTGGGTGCTCACCGGGAGCAAGCAGTGCCCATCAAGCTGTAACTCAACTACGCCTGGCACCTGCCTAATTCCATAATTGCCATCAGCACATTCAGTCCTTCAGGGCACAGCGGCTGAACTGAGCCTGGAAAAAAAAAAAAAAGGTTTTAATTTGCCCAGAGGCAGGACAGCCCAGAATTACTATCCCTAGGTCATTTCCTCCCAGTCAGCCATATATTTCTGCTGAAGCCATTACATGCCTATCAACACAGAGGGATCCAGAGCAAACGAACAATGGTGCAATAAAAAGCCATTGAGGGAAATGCAGCTGAGAGCTCAAAGGGGTAAAGTCTTCACTGTGCCTGGCACCACCGGCTGAAGCAGAATTACTGCACCAGCCTGCTGTGCAGAGGAGACACCACAGGCTTTCCCAAGAGGAAGAACATGTCACAATGTGCTTGAGAAAAACCCCTTCTTTCTCCTCAACTCAGAAATAAGTTGTTCCAGTCCACAAGGACATTCAAGTCACACATGTGAGAAGTTTATGAAGGGAAGCTGACCTACAGCAGTTAGGGCACATTGTGCAACTACGGTGCCAGCTTCCGTGACTGCGAAAGACAAACCATATTAGAACTTAGATGTAACCTCCCCTGTATCCACTAGGCCCAAAAGGCTCTCCATTTGGGACAGCACTCATGCAGGGTAAGCAAGGCAGCTCCAGCCATATATCACAGGAAAATCCTCACCATCCTAATGGAAAAAGGTTAGACTCAAAAGTCAACATTTTCTCCACACTCCACCCGAAAATGACTGCAGAGCAGCTCAGCGCAGCTAACTTTTTATATGTAAGTGAATCAACTAGGTTTTGGTGCACCGATTATCAGAAACATGCAAGATTATACAACTGGAGTGGTTTCAAAGGAAGTAAGAAAAAGTAACCCAAGTGCAGTATCACTTCTACATCCTGTCCTAACTGGCAGAGTGAATATTTCACTGATCAGTAGCTAGAGCAGCTGATGATATCCCATCTGCCTCCACCTTTGCTTGTATCCCTGCCCTTGAACACCCTGCCAGGACTGGGGCGTGGAGCAGACCAGATAACTGCACCTTCCCCCTACCCGGGCCCAGCAGGACCAGAACGCTGCAACCACCAGCCCGCACCGCCAGCGATCCGGACCCGGCTGCGGAGGGTGGGCAAAGCGTGTTCTCACTGCAAGGTGCTTGCTGCGGGCTGGCTGCGAACCGGCAGGTCCTGCTGAGGAACCCGGGCTGTTCAGTGAAAAATGGGAGAAAGAAGGATCCCGGCGGCCGCACGCGGCCAGGCTGGCAGCCTTTCCAGCCGAAATCCCACTCCAAGCCCACGCGGAGCCAATTCCCCCCACGGCATTACACAACCCCGCAGCCTGCGGACACCATCCCGCAGGGCTCATCCCGCAAGGCTCATCCCGCCGCCTCCGGGGGCCCGGCCCCGCGGGGACGGGGGATGCGGCCCCGGCTGGGCCCGGCGGGAGGACTGGGGTGGCCGCAGTCCCGCGGGTGACAAGTGCGGGCGCTCCCCGCGGGCCCCCGCCGTCCCCGGGCGGCCGCAGGAGCGGAGCCCCCGCCGCGCTGCGGGAACACCCCCCGCTCCGCCGCGGGCCGGCAGCACGCGGGTCCCGCACCCCGCTGGCACGGCGGGACCACACCGCGCCGGCGGAGCGGGACCCCGCGGAGAGCCCCGCCGGCAACCCCCTCGCGCCCCCGGCGCGTTCCCCCGCCCTCACCTCGGCCCACGCGGCCCTCGAGCGGGTCCTTGCGGAAGTGGATGCCGTTCACGTCCACGTGGGCATCGCCGCCCGCGTTGACGGCCCAGACGACGCTGTCGGCGATGCCGCCCGCCGCGCCCCGCAGCAGCAGCAGCAGCGGCGGCAGCAGCAACAGCAGCCCGGGCGGCAGCAGCGGCGCCCCGCGCACACCGGCGCCCACCATGTCGCGCTCCCAGCGCCGCGCCCGCCCCTTCCTGCCGCCGACAGGGGGCGGCCTGTCCCGCTGCCGGGGCGGGGCACGCACCAGCCAATGCCCGCGCTGCACCGAGAATATTAAATAACTGCCCGCCCCCCATTGGGCGGCCGCCGCTGTGTATTTACATATTCATAAGGCGGCGGGCCAATGGGCGGTGGCGGTGGGCGGGCCGGGCTGAGCGGCGCGGGGCTGGCGGCGGGAGCGGGTCCCTGCGGGCCGGGGGCACGGGGCGGGAATGAGGGGGAACCGGCTCCGCAGAACGGAGCGGGAGAGAGCAGCAGGAACAGCCCGGCGAGCTGCCCCGAGCGCCCGCCGCCAGGGCAGAGCCCGCCCCTCCTCGCCGCCAATCGCGGGACTCCAGCGCGGCGGAGCGGGGAAGCGCGGCCGGCGGGTTGCCGGGGCAACGGGCGGCGCTGAGCGGGCCCGGAGCGATCGGGGAAGGGGCCGGGAGCGGAGCGGGTCAGAGGGAGTACCGCCGCCGCGTCCCGGGAGCTCCGTTCCCGCTGCGCTCTGAACAGCAGCCCCCGGGCCTGGTCCGCGGCCCCGGCAGAACGCGCCGGCTCTCCCGTTCGGCCCTGCCACAGAGGATGGGGGAAGGCAGCTGCCGCCCGCCCGGTAAGGAGCCAGGCGGCCTTGGACTGCAATAACTTGCATGAGAAGGAAAGGAGGTGACCGTGACACGGCCAGCGGGGCTGCTCCCTGAGCTGCGCTTTATAGGAGAATGTTAGATCGTGGTTTTTTTCTGGAGGCCCCTGGCAAGGTCTTATCTTAGGAGGGCTGGAGTGAGACATCCCAGATGGAGGCTGAACGAAACTCAGCCCCTACACGGCGGGGGAGCAAATAACGCAACGTTCGCATCTGTGGTTGCCCTCCTGTCTGATCGCGGTGCTCCTCGAGGCGTCAGACACCGGTCAGGCCTCGGGGCTGTGCTCCAGGCACCGGCTGCATTAGCAGCGGCTGCTCCTGAGTCCCAGTGATGTTTTATTAATTAGAGTCTGCTACAAAGCATTTACTTTTGGAAATAAAGACTTGGTGCTGCAGACTGAGAATTAAATGAGTTTGTTGCTTTTGTAATGCGCTTGGGGGCCTCTTAACCAGGCACAGCCTTGGAGAAGTGAACTGTTTGGGGGGAGTAACCACCTACCCCTGCTCCCCAGCCTATTCTCCCCAGGCCAGAGTGTGCCCTAGAACATGTTACTGCTGCTGTCACATCAGCTCTTGGTCTTGTGATATAACTAGACCAGGGCAGACATGGCACTGCTGTGCTCCCATGCCAGCACTGCAGCCAGGAAGGGGTTCCTGAAGCGACAAGGTGCCTTAGGAAACCGCATCCAGAAAAGTAGAGTGAAACGCGCACGCTTAGCACCTCTCCAGATTCAGCCGCCTCACACTGGTTCCTGGCAAATCATCTCAGTGCTACAGACCCCATCCCTGGCAGCATCTGATAAAATCCAGGCTAATCTGCCGTATCCCTGCTGTGTTTGTGACCTGTTGGGTGTCCCCCAAGTTCCATTACCAAAGGAGTGCAGGCAGCCGTGGCCAGGACAATGCTGTCCAGTTGGCGAGGCCGAGGGAGGCCTTGTTAGAGCTCATTTGTACTGATTACAGACGATCCTCTCTAATCTCCCAGCTTAAACTGCGATGTGCTCGGGTCAGGAGCACAACTTCAAAGCACATAAACACTTTGTGTGTCACCAGGTGACTGCCACGAGCCATGAAAGTGAGGTGGGAAGAGGGATGGAGTAAATCATCAGCAGGCGGAGGGGTGGCTGGGGCACAGGTTACAGACAGCAAAGGGTTTGAATCCTTGTATTTCCAGTCCTGAAACCCTCCAGGGCAGCAGGAGTCCCACTGAGTGCCCTGTGTGGCCCAGGTGGGCTGAGGCAGGTGGCCCCATTGCCCTCCAGTTCAGCAGAGCTTTCAGGGGTCTCACACACACACACACAAAATGGCACCGTGCAGCCGGCGACTGGGGTGTCATTGCAAACCCACCACCAAACTGCTTACCCCAGACACAAGGTGCCCATCAGCAGGAATTCTGACATGAAGGGATTTACTAGATAACGTTTAGGTATGACCAAGACAGATCCCTCAGCTGAAGGGAGATTCACAGGGAGCTCACAGGCAAATATGAGCAACATTTCCTTGAAAAGAGAAGAGGTACCTTGAAAAGGAAGAGTTGCTCTCCTTGAACAGAGGGGAAAACTCCTCTCTTTCTCCTCCATCCGAGGACTCAGCCTTTTGAGAGGGCAAGGCACTGAGCATTGCAATACCTCCTCTGCCTCTCTGGGAAGAGCATCTTCCAGTAACTAGCCTGGGTGATCATTTCCCAAGAATCAGCAGCCTATCATGAAGCAAGAGGGATTAACTGAGCAGCAGTCAATGAGCAGGGACAGTGACTGTGCTCATCCAGGGGCAGGAGCCCTGGATCATGGGCTGGCCACGGTCCCTGGCAGAGGACAGCAGGCATGCCGTGTGGCCTGTGCCCGTGATGTCCTACACTGCTGCCCCAAATCGATACTTGCCGGCACCAGCAACTTGATGCCAGCTTGTGCCCCAGATGTCAAAGGCTCTATTCTGTTACTAATCCACTGAGCCATCAGTCAGTCCCTTGATACAGGCTGGATTTACACCAGTAACCTACAAGTGAAAGGCTCAGGGTCGTCTTCTCAATCCCTTGATCTCTCCCTGTCCCCTGGCAGCTGTGCCACAATGACTCAGTCATCAGATCAGTCCTGCCTGGTCTACCTACAGCCCTGATCGTTCACAAGCGACGTAGGGCACAGGTTTTGGGTATCAGCCATTTCCTGCTGTAAAATGGGATCAGGATTTGGGATGTCCAAAAGGAGCAACAGAGACGTGTGTGTCAGTAGCAGACCTCCTGGCTAATGAGGCATCTAAGAAGTCATCGTAAGCCAGCCCCGCTGCTTGGACCACCTCGTGAACAGTATGGAGCTACAGGGCTCAGGTGCCCAGAGGGGACTGGCTGTGCCTTGCCATGTGGAGCTCTCTGGAAGCCTCCCTGGTACCAAACTGGAGATGAGAGTGAAAGGATTATCTCTGGAATTAGATTATTTAGATTGGAGCTTTAATCTCTGCCCCTGTCTGCACAAGAAAATAGTAAAACTCTCTGGGATTATTTGGGGTTTGTTGTGAAAGTAAAGTCAGGTTGGCAGCAAGAGTTTCTGCTGGGAGAAAAATATATGAAGGCTTTTGAGACCTGCCCTGTCTGACCTGTTCACTGTATCATGGTGAGACCTGCAGAACAAAGCTGCAGATGATTTGGCAGACTCAGCTTTCCTCAGAAGTAGCTGTGACTCCAGGACTGCCTCTGCAATGACACAAAGGTGTCCTGCAGCTACGCTTCCCCTGGTGTTGGTGTCTGGAAAAGAAGCACAGCTCTGCCACGGTGCAAACACCTGCTTGAGTGAAAATGGCTGTAGTTTGCAGAGAACATCCCCACCCACTGTGATGCTGCACTGTGGGTGAGTGCAGCTTCTAGAAATGGGCTTACCAATTTAAATAAATTACGATTGTGTCCTGCCATCTGACTCTGTGGGCAAAAGACATGTCTGGTCAGAGCAGAGTCTGGGAAGGAGCAGGCAGAGGCAGCCACCACATTGGTGGCCTCTGATTGCCCACTGGGCTTGTGCATGCTGGCTGTGGCACAAACCATGTGCCCTGAGCTGTCACTGGTCCCCAGGGGCAGGCACAGCCCTGCAGCACAGCCGTCCTCCTGCTCTGCATGCACAAGCAGCTCCTTCCTCAACAGTCTCCAGTGTAAGTGAAGCACGGTTGGGGAGCAGCAGTCCCTTTGGCAGACACCGGCCTGCACAGGTCTCTGCCTCCCCACTGTTACCCTAAGCACATTTATAACTTACAAGGACTCTGTCCCATTTATCACCCTCACCTCCTAATCACAATACAGCTGCTGTGCCAGTAAATGTAGAGATCTGTAAATATCCACTTTCCAGTTTCTTGGCTCACACACACATTTCTAAGCTGGGACCAGCTCCATAGATACACACACATAGTTTGCATATACACCCACTTGCACACAAACTCTTCTGCTGCTGCACTCCCAGGTGCCCACCCGCACTCCTGGCTTTTACCTGCACACACGCAAACTTTTCCCAGTGCACACAGCTGTGCAAACACAAGTACACACACACACACACAAATACAGGAGGAAACACAGTTTTTCCATTCTGGGATATCAGTCATCTCTGCAGCTATGCTGGTTGGCACAGCAACAGAAAGACAGAAGAGAAAATTCTCCTTTGGGATAGGGATTTGTGGACCCCAAGAATTTGAAAGAGAACCTGGGAAGTGAAAGATCTGAGATGGAGGAAGCAGGAAGATATTAGTCCTTAACCTTCCAGCTGGATTAAAGAGACACAGAGGAAACAGGTCCCAGTCACACTGAGGAAAACAGAGCAATGCTGGCAACTTGTGAGCGAGCCTCAGCATAGAGAAAGGGGACAGCTATAGGTCTGGTAGAGTAGGGGAAGGGAGTGGTAGGTTGGGAGCGTCATGGGGAAAGGGGAAGGAGGGTAAGCACCTGATGTGTCTGGAAGCAGCTGGTAGGGCCTGGAGGCTGCTGTTGTGGTCACCACTGCAGATAGGGCAGCACGTCCCCACTGTACATGTGCTCACAGTTGTGTTTGAAATGGTCTGAAAGTGCCAGGGGGTGGCTATTGCTGCCTGTCCCACTCCCAACCCGCTCCCTTCTGAGGCTTCTCTCCCATTGCTCCTTTGCCATGGTACCACAGAGGCTCTCACCTGCCCCCGTGCCAGCGGAGGGGACACAGGGATGGGGACCCTCCACTCCGCCCTCACTGTGAGGCACCTCCAGGCCCCTGGGCCGTGGAGACAGCAGGAGAGAGGGCAGAGTCCTGGCACAGGCTTAGTGGCCAGCAGGGACTCCCCTGCCTGTGGCAAGGACTGGCCTCCACACCCCGGTGCAGACACTGGCGTGCACATGT